CCAGCCTTCTCAGTCGGTAAAGCATGGGAAGCTGAAAAGCCCTTGACTAGTGTAAGCACTGCTCAGCAACACCTAAAACATCGGTGTGTTATCAACATTATTCTCACCCTAAATCCAAAACACAGCACTGTACCAGCTACTAGGAAGGAAATTAACTCTATCCCAGCCGAAACCAGGACAGAGGCAAAGTATAAATTGCCACAAGCCAAGAACGCTTCACTAATTTGAAGAAAGGTAGCAAATTCTCTTCCTCAAAACTGAGTCAGTTACTAAGTGGCAAATCGGTACCATACCAATTGCTACTAATGGCATTGTTAATTGCATTTAATAAATGGATGTTTTTCTCTAACATGACTGTATGCTCATTAATACTTGTTTCCAGTCATCTTCTATTGTTGCACCTAACAAGCAGTCTCATGTGACAGATTAGTGCCAGTAAGGATTAATTCTGCCAAGCTGCAGTACCTGCTGTAACTTAAGTTCCATTGAGATATGAACATGGTAGCGTAACAGTATTGATCACACCATCATGGAAGCTTTAACTAGTTAAAAATCAGCTACATGGGTAAGTACAGAGGAACTCAAGTGTTTAGAGGAAGCGATCAAAAGCTTGAACACAGAGGAAAGCAAAAGTATACTTTGTTTGAACAGCTGGCAAATTTGCAACAGACACAGGAACAAACCCCTCCTGATTATCACTAAAAGATGATACAGGGCTACATCCTAAAATGAAGCTCTATAGGGTGAATTGTTTCTGTAGTTAATTCCAGTTAACAAAGAAAGGAAGTCAGGGGCTACAAAAAGCCAAACTTGTATGCTAATTCTACTTAAAATACTATGAAAAGTAGGTCTCATGGAATGATAGTACATCTTCTATTCAAAGATAGGCAAAGAAGTTCAGAACAGCTTCTGCAGAAGCAAGTTTCGCCCTTTTCAGGCTGTGCTTTAAGTTGATTAGAGCACTGTAAGTGTTATTATGGTAAGGTCAGTCACTGTGGAGAGGGTGTAGGTGAGAGACAGGCTGAGGTTCCTCTGAAAGGGAAGATGCACTCCTTTTTAGGAGGAGTTAAGAATCTATACAATTGGCTGCTGTCTCAAGAATTATCACGGTAGTTTAGAGTTCCCATTCATGAATCACTGACAACAGAGAAGAATAAAGTGATTTCCTTTTTAAATTTACAGCCAGTTGGACTTAAAATGTCACTGTCTTTTAGAAAGGAGGTTCTTCAGAAAACAGATGTGCTTGGAAAAGCACAGTGGGCTTGTCTATACCTCTCACTTTTAAACAAACAGTATTTGCCTGTACAAAGAGAAATCCAGCCAAATGAACAGAAAAAAAGAGTGATCTTAATGAAGCTTTAAAAGAAATCTCTGGAAAAGAAAAAAACCTTTATTTAAAAGTAAGTTATAAATCTTGGGTGTATCCCCCACTGTTTGGCATCAACCAGGACAGACTAGAGATAAGTATAAAAACCAAGCCACAACAAGCAGTAATGAAATTTCTGCACACAGTCATATTTTTGGACAAAAGTAGAATTCTAACATGGTAATGAAACTTACCAGTAACACTTGATGCATCTATTTAACAAAAAAAATAGATTTCAAAAGATAACACACTCATGTAGGATTCATCTGTTAATACAAAACTAGCCTTGATTGTTACAACTCCACTTGTGTTACACAAAACGTTTTTTTTGTAGGATATTTAGAATTCTAATAACGCAAAGGTGAGAAAGAGGCATTATGGCTTCTCGGCAGCAAGAGAGCTAATCACACAATTGCTTTTTTACAACTCGCAACATCAAAAATGAGATCATTCAAGATTTAGTCTTCAGAGAACTATCTGCAAAGTGTTTTTAGTAGGAACTACCTTCGCCCATTCTTCAAGTTTTGTATGTTACACAAAAAAATCAGTGACAAATTCTGCAAGTAACCAAAATAGCGTTCTTTGAAATAAATCTGTTTCTCTCCTGCTATCCCCTTCAGAATATTCAGACTTACACTGATTTGTGTAACAACAGAAAATCCTTCGGTATTATTCCATTTTCCAAAGTACATTAACAATCCTCTGATATGAAGCTCAAGATCACCACACAAGTCAATCAAATGCCCTTCAGCCCTTTCTTCCTTGTTTTGGGTTCGTTGGTTTGGTTTTTTGGGGTTTATTTTTGCTGCTGTGTTGCCCAGTTATAGAACCTTACTGGTGGAGAGTGGCAAAGTAGTGATCATGTGCTCCACATTCTTGGTATTTTCCATTGCTTAGTTCATCATAATAAAATTAGATTTGCAATGAGCTTAAAAGAAAATCAAAAAAAAGAGTGAGTGTTCAGTACATTACTCTGATTTATCTGTCATTACATAAATAATTAGGATTTTAGGGTCTGGACAGATGTTTTTGTTTTAGGATAGGAGTGTATTATGACAGACTACTTCCCTTCCTATCCTTTCCTTACTACAGCGCTAGTTCTCAAAAAGCAGTATTTGCCTCCAAGTTCCTCACTACTACCCAGAGATTCTTGATTAAAGGAAAATTGCTAAACACAGGCCCCTAAAAGGGAAGTTATCTGTGAAAATATCCGGCAGGCATTCCTATTTTTAGCAATCTTCCTCCTAAACATTATTTGCAAATTGTAACAAATACAAAAAGCAGCAGGTACGCAATGAATAAATGTGACTTACCTATAAACTCAGTGACAGGATCATGTTCGCCTTCTGTTTTAATAGTACCTGCAATACTTTCATTCTCCAAGATTGGAAGAAAAAGCTGTACAAAGTCTGAGGTATATGGAGGAGCAATCACATCCAGCACCTGAAACAGCAGACAAAAATGGTTTATTCTTCCAGTTAGCGGGGTAGCAGGGACAATATTTAATTCACAATACTAGTCTTGAAAGCATACAAGTAGTTGCACTTAACACCTCTTGTTCTCCATACAAGTAATTAATTATGTATTCTTGTGGTACTCTACCCAGTACCTTAATACTTTCAGAAGTCAGGAGTCAGTAGGACTAAGTCACATCCTAGTGAATACTGGTATTACATACATTGCTCAAAATCTGATCTCGTATCTTAATATTTTTGAATCTGAGGCAAGTTGATTTAATATCCAAACACATACAACTCATCTTAAAAATTCATTTCTGTATGTTAGTAAACACAATTTTTGCTGCTGACCTCTGTAACAAAATATCTGATGAGAGATATATCTGTATCTAGCTTCTCCAGGCATCTGCGGATGTAGCTGACAACAGGCAGGACATATCCTCGACTGAGTAAGTGCACCATTCTATCCAAGAGAGTCTTCTTCAATTCCAGCTGATGGCAGGAGTCAGAGGAGTGAAGGGGGAGGAGAAGAAACCAACAGATTAGAACTTCCTCTTGAAAGCATGCCATTTTTATTGCATATTCTTATTGATTCAATATCTGCTATGTTACTTTTTAACCATGACCATATTCCTAAATTAAAGTCTTAAAACTCCTGTGACAGCAAAAGCTGTTATCTTGAATAAGCTAACTAATATGAAGGAATACAAATACTGAATCCTTTGAGAATCACCTGCTCCATTACATCAAGCTGCGAATGTTCTGTTTCGAAGAGCTTGACAAGAAGTTGTAGAACTTGGGGATGAAGCAGCTGATGGCATGTACTGATCTGCAAACAAGACAAGAAAGTTAGAGCCTCAGAACTTCAATTTAAAAACCGATGCACCAGGCTTTATTAGACAAGTTTACATTGATGTTCAGTACCAGACATAAATTCTTTTAGAAAAGTATTCCACTGTTTCTTTCTTTGATGCCTTAAGTTTTCCTAGTGTAAATAATGCTGAGATGACAAAACCAAATAATTAACTCTGAATAGAAACAGATCAATCTCTGTATATTTACTGACTTGCTGCAAATGATAGGCATCCAGTGAACCGGATTTACTTCGGGTTCCAAGCGTCAAAAGTGTTTTTACCCTCCAGCCAGATTTTATATACACCCTTACCTCATCCAGTAACGCCAGATGAACTGGAGTGTGATCAGTCTGCAGCTGGAAGTATCGTGGTT